TTGGCATTCGCAATTGAGGGGACCCTCGCTAATCGTGGCCTAGAATCCCAAGACGGTAGAATCAAGCGACCACTCCCCCCAATATCCGCGAATAGCGATTGACGCGCCGGCTACATTAGAGACGACCTTAGGCGGATTATCCTCGAACTATGGCTCGAGAAGCTATGGTGGGTAGGTGTGTAAACTTCGGCGTTTGCAGCCAATCAATCTATAGAAATTGGGAGATCTACTCCCATAATGGTACTAACGCCTAGCCCAACGGTGGAATTTTCTCTAATTCCCATGCAAAAAAAGTTCCTCTGAAGTTGACACACCCACCCCCTATGCCTTCTCGCGCCATAGGTCTTGCTATCTCTTAAGGTCCCCAAACAAAGCTATCCGCTAGTGCTACTAGTAGACAATGTCGGTGATGAAGATTTGTTCTTCCTAAGTTTTACATCCAGATATTTAAAAATCGTTTCTTCATCCAACTATATCGGGCTATCATAATGCGACGTGTTAAGGCATGCCAGCTCTATCATTACGCCACCACTCAGAGAAGCCCAACAATGTTCTGTCTCTACCCGCCGGCGGCTGTCTTTCAGTCTTAAAACTGGTTACGGTAGCATACCTACATGCAAGTTTGTCCAAAGTTTTGATATCCCTGGGCCGTCGCATCCACTCATAGTGGAAATAATTAGGATGGGCCAACGCGGAGTCGAGGTTTAGAAGGGGCGAAGTCAAAATAGGTACATACAATCGCCAGAACCCACTGGGAAATCAGGCAGGTATTGTACGGACGCCCGGATGCTATCCGTACCGACATGGTTTGACCTTTTTTCTACCTACTCTACTCGTATTTTCGTGACGTTTGTAAAAGGAACCGCTATTGCATACCATACTAAATTGTGGACTTGGCGCGTATTTGTATGGTATGCACTACTATGCAATAGTGGTTCCTTTTACAAACGTCACGAAAGTACGAGTACACAGGCACATGCCTCAGGAGATCGAGAAAGTATATACCTATCTCATCAAGTGCTATAGTGGAAACGCTATCTAAGTAAACTGGTCCACAGTCTATCTAGCGGTCTGATAATGCCGGCGAGCAGGGGTTCCAATCAGTCCATCGGGGTTCCAATCAGTCCATCGGGGTGCTAATCAGTCCATCGGGAAGCTCGTTGTCGAATCCGTTGTCAAATCCGTTGTCCGCCAGTGGCAGTGTTCTACCATTATCAGCCATGCATTAGAATAAATGACGTTAGGAATGAATCCGAGTGATCGTCTGAGATGTTAAGAAGTTGGTTGGGGTGGAAGGTGGCATTGACCCCTGCAGTGCTGCGGCACAGATATCTACTCAAGGTTAAGTGGGATCATTTCCCTAACGATGCATAACTGTCTACTGATCCACTAGTACCGATGTGACTGAATATCACGCACCAACGGAGCGTCTTTGGTTCAATCGAGGTTCTTAACAACGTGGTTTTTTACTTCAGAGCATCTAGAGTACTTTACTCTACTTGGGTACATGTATGTTGTATGTATGTATGTATGTATGTACCTACATGGGATGCTCATTAAGAGTGGGATGGATGGGATGAGAAATGGGCTGGGAACCGAGAAGAGGGGAAGCAATATCTGCAGACACCCACTTCGAGTCTCTCTTTTATCAACATAATCTCCCTAGTCATCAACGTTTGAGATGGGACGTTAACGCTACTTTACAGTAGTCTTAAGACTTACTGAGCTACTCGAGAGGGTACTTATTTGCTGCTCTTGAGTTGAGTGGAATCATACGGTTTGGTCCCTCTAGGTATTTCCTGCAATAACTCCACTTGCCCTACCTACTTCCTAGGAGTCTCCTCAACTCTGCCTTATGATAGAGTACCTACTCCAAAAAAAAAAAAAAAAAAAGGTAGTCCCAAAAAGGTAGTCCCAAAAAGGAAATGATCATACATTCATGTATGCATATGTGGTGTGGGTAACTAATAAGAAGGGTTTCTCGGAGGAGTTTATAACCGGAGCCTTTCCGCCTGTAGGAAATAATGATACTTTATTCGCCGATGTTCCAGGGCTCAATTTGATTCACGAATCAAATTCCATACTAGTAGGCGAAAAAAAAAGAAAATACTTTGGCGTACCTACCTGCCGAGAATATGTGAGGAGTACCTGCTCGAGCATATTGTATTGTATATCTTTCATGAAAATAGGCGAAATATTACCGGGTATGAATGTGGGGGCGGGTGTCGTGGGTTGTGAGAGGGCGGGGAGCAGTGTAAATACATGTAGACTCATCGCAGAGTATTCAAACTGGCACAACACACACAAAATACTTTCAGTGTTAGCGCCGTACTTATTTGTTCCCGATCTGGATAACTTCTGAAATGGACCGCTATTATTGGCAGCTTGACAGGTGTGATAAAGGCAGCTGCTTGCGGAGCCGACAGACCAATCTTCAGGGGTGAAAGTCATATGTGAACCTGCATAGAAAAGTGCAAAATCCACTTAATGCGAACACTTTTGAAATCATGCAAAGAGCTTTAGACACATGAAGCAGTAGACGTCTACTATTTGTTGGACTAGGAGCATTTCGTTGGTACGGGAGTAGGCGGGGCAGGGATGAGGAAACGTATTGTTTTTGTTTGTTGCAATGTACCGAGTACCTGGGAAGTCCGTGCCATTAATTGGGAGGGGGTGGCCGGTGGAAGGAGGAGGAGACAATGGATAGGGTACCTATTGTCTATTGGTAGTTACTCCATGGGCACAGGTACTCTACACTGGTAGGTATGTCTCAGTCAACCGAACCCACTGATTGACATCTGACGTGCTCGTACTCTACTCTACACGGTTCTCTTACGATGTCTTCCTTTTTAGGCCTTCCCCCTCGCAGGCCAGCATGCTCCGCGCTGAATATGGCTAACGGATTTCTCCAGATCGGATTTTGCCATTATTCCTCTCCTTTCTTAGGTTCCAAAGTCATGTAGGCTACATGTAAACTGGGGGTATAATGGAGGGGAGATATATGCCTCTCTAGCTTCAACAGCCTATGTGGGATTGGTCTATCATCAAAGACGAGTGGCCTCCGCAGCTGACAGGATTTGTACCAAGTGATAAAATACTGGTCAACTTTATCTAAGGAAATCTCCTCTGGAGGGCCTGAGGTCTTACAAAAAGCCTCTCTATCCCCTGCTTTACCTGCTCAAGGTTCTTGTCGGGGTAGCTCAATAATCGCGGTCTTCGTCCTAAATCCAAGTCAGGAGGAACAAGAGGGGGGGGTACGACAGGGTCGATATCATCAATTATACGGAACGCTTGGACACAAGCCCTCCTCGTGTTTTTTTCGCCTGGCATTTTCTTTCTTTTGCTAGTTGCGGCCTAGGAGGAACTGATCGCAAAACACCAAAGTGAATCAAAGCCACACGAGGAAGTTACCAAGGTTTCCCGCGGGGGTGGGGGAATAAGAGAGGGCCTCGCAGAAACAGTATTCAGCACGGTCTTTATTTGCTAGGATTGGTGTCTTGGAATTCACGCTGAAGAACCTTTTTTTTTTTTTTGATACTGATCCCCCTCTCGAGTAAGTTTGGACGCTCTGCTGAGGGTACATAAACGGCCCCTTGAATCCTGGATTTAGATGTTGATTCCGAGGAGAGCATCTTGAACGTGTTTGAAGGGAAAAAAAAACATCAAGAGGGCCTTCTAGCTTCTACGTTCCTAAAGAACTGACAAACCTCTGACTAGAAAGCACGAATCTTCCTCTATCTACGAAGTGCATACCCAGACTACTGCGCTTGTCCACCTGCGCTTCATTGCCCCACGACGGACGATACCACGGAGACCTATCCCCCCGGTCTCGCCGGCCTCATCATCACCCACAACAGGCATTAACAACCCGGCGAGCCCGCCAAAATAGAAATAAAAGCAAAACATTGGGTGTGCGTTTTTTTCTCGCGCTGCAACTGTCCCGATCCAAAACTTCTCGCAGGTATGTATGTAGCTAAGAGAGAGAACCCACCGCCTGGGGTCACTAGGTACCTTGCGTTGATCGAATCAGCAAGCTACTTCCCTGACCTTGTCCAGCCCGCTTGTGCCTCATGGGACCAATTCTTTCCCCGGATTTATGAAATGGACACTGCAGCTGATCAGTAATCTGCTGCTTTAGGCATATCGATCATAGATCTTGAGGGCCTTTTTTTGACCAGTCATCATATTTTTCAGGTCGTGGACAACGCCTTTGAAATTTCGAATCGTTTTGATTGATTGATTGAGACGAGGTACTTGTTTCTCGCCGCATGAGAGACCTTTTCGGTGGAACATTGAGAGGTCTAGAATTCGAACTTCACTTATCGTTATCGCGCGCCACCATTTCTATTTTCAATATCATAGAAGCAAGAAGTGCTGTCGTGGGCGTCTACAGCTTCGGCGATTACGTATTTGACTGTTTACGGAAGTGAAAGAAAGAAGTGGCATAATAGCATACTACATAGCATACCATTCTAGGTATCTTTGCTAGCTAGTAGCTAAACCCCGACTGTAAGTATGAGCTGGTCACTTTTTTTTTTTCTCCTTTCATTTCTCTCGTCCAGAAGGGATTTATGGTATTTGCAATGTTCATCCGGTCGCCGCTGTACGCTGCTGCTGCGGGTTTCAGATGGATTTTGTATTATCTCTTTGTTCTATTCGCTCCTTTGGTGTAGCTTCATCGCTGCAAATGCAGCTTTGAGCTGTTCATCCTCATCCCTCGATACCTACTACCTACCCCTCACTGATGGATCCGTCCATCCGTCCATCCGTCCCATCTGGTCACTGTCGGTATCAAGATGTATTCTTTTCAATTATCTGCACTTTCTTTACTTACCCCACTCACTCGCTTTTAAGAGAGCTCTCCCCCCTCCGCATTCAAAGTTTTTCATTCTTCACTTCTCACTACTTTCTTGCTTTTCCTCGTACCTGCTTCCTGCAGCGGTCTTTTGATTGGTGAAACCTGACTGATCTGATATTTGCTTTTTCTTATTTCTTCTACGATGAAGTCCCCAGGCTATTTCCTCAGCGCATTGATCGCTACAATGAACATCCACCTCAGCGCCGCTTATTCTGAATCCTATGACTTCATTGTCGTCGGGGGTAAGTTCCGTTGCTCTCTCTCATTGGATCCGTATAATCTAACAACCAACAGCCGGTACCGCCGGAGGCTACCTTGCACACAAGCTCGCCACCTCGCCCTATTCGCCTTCTGTGCTCCTCCTGGAGAACGGGCCGAACACACTGAGCAACAACACCAACAATCCGGCCGACAATCCGAACCTGAAGTCGCTCATTCCCGGTAATTTCGCCGAGAATGTGGCCAGGCCGGACACAAATTATATGTATAAGACTGTTCCGCAGAAGCACCTCGATGACCGCGTGCTGGTGTACCACAGAGGCCGTGGCCTCGGCGGAACCAGCAACCTCAACTATATGGCCTGGATCAAGGGCTACAAGGGCGATTTCGACGAATGGGCGGAGATTGTCGGCGACCAGAACTATGGGAGTAACGAGGGCTGGGAGAGGATCAAGAGAGTTTGTGTCTCCTTGTGATGTTTGCGCGAATGAAGCTGTACTAATGCGCCGCTGTTGTAGTTGGAATCGTTTGACCCTAAGGGCTTGCCAAAGGCCTACGAGAAATATGCTTCCCCGGACATGTCCAGCCATGGTACAATGGGCCCAATCCACAACACTCTCCCAACGAACCCCCTCCCGGGTATGGGTTCCTTCATCGACGGCTGTGTTGAAGCCGGTATTCCCAGAGCCTTGGACACAAACTGCGGTCAGAACATTGGTGCTGGATTGGTCAATATGGCAATCTACAAGGGTGCCCGTGTCTCGTCAGCTACTCAGTGCCTCAACGAGGAGGGCGATATTGGCACCGGTTTGATCCGCCCAAGAAACCTCGAGGTCAGAACTGATACCAAGGTCGAGAAGATCCTTTTCGACCATAAGACTGCCATTGGTGTTCAGGTCGAAGGAGGCCGCAAGTGTAAGTCCTATAATTTTTAATCTTGCTCCCTCTAGATTTTTCTAATTTTAGTCTGCTAGTCTTTGCCAAGAAGGAGGTTATCATTTCCGCCGGATTTATCGACTCTCCAAAGCTCCTTCTCCTTAGCGGTATTGGACCTAAGGCCGATCTCCAGGAGCTTGGAATCAAGGTTGTCCACGACTCCCCCAATGTCGGAAAGAACATGCTCGACCACTCCACCGTCCTCCTCGATCCCATCTTCAAGCAGGATCTCCAAGTCCCCACCGGAAACCTCCTCTTCTCTGAGCCCGCTCGTGTTGATGCCGAGAAGAAGCTTTGGCTCGATACTTACCAAAATGGCAAAGGTGAAGCTCGAGGCGAGATGGCCCGATTCGGAGCCTCCGCTGGTGTTGCCTTCATTAAGTTCACCGAGGAAGAGCGTGAGCAGTGGCCCGAATGGCAGGCTCTCTCTGATGAGGACCGCTCCCGCTTCCTGGACAAGGGCCGTCCCGACACCGAGATCTTCTACCTTATTGGATACAAGCCTCCCGGAAAGGACTTCCCCGAAGGCACCTCGCCTAACTCGTATGCCCGCCTCTTCCTCCTGCACCAGAACCATCTCGCACGCGGAACCATCAGCCTCAACTCGTCCAACCCGTCAGACGCCCCTGTCATCGACCCTCAGTACTTTTCGCACCCCTATGATGTCCGCATCAGTATCGAGACCATCAAGAAGGCTGTCGAGATCTTCAAGACCAAGGCCCTCTCCGCTCACTTTGTCGGCATGGAGTTCAAGGGCTGCGCCGAGGACCCAGCTTGGATCCAGGACTCGCCCGAGAAGGCTGAGGAGAACCGCCTCAAGGCAGAGCAGAACGGCGGTTTCTATGTCAATGGTATCGATATGACCGATAAGGGCATCGAGCACTGGTTGAAGAGCAAGGGTCTCGACCAGGGCTACCACGGCATGGGAACCCTCAGAATGGGCAAGGCTGGTGACAAGATGAGGGTTGTCGACTCCAAAGGCCGTGTTGTCGGTGTTGATGGGTTGAGAATCGCTGATACCAGTGTTATCCCTGTCGTCATGAAGTAAGTCTCTCCTTGCATTCTGCTGAAGCATCAATCATATACTGACATCCCCGCCAGCAACCATCCGCAAGTGTCTGCATACCTCATCGCCGACGTCGTCGCCGACGGTATCCTCCGCGACCACGCAGCCTCAGGAAAGCGCCAAAAGCGCCAGAAGATCATTAGACGCTTCGACTAGAAACTCAAATAATCCCCCCCCCCCCTCCTTCTTTCCCCCCCCTTTTAATTCCTCTGTTTTGGATCCTTCTTCTTTTCTGTTTTCTGTCTTTGTTCCTTTGGTAAACGGGTTAGGGCTTGGATTACTGGGTAGTTATGGTGTATTTTCGTATAATTGGGTTTGTTATGGTCTTATTATCACTTTCCTGTTTTTTGTTTGAAAACCTGTTATGGTTGTTGGCGGTGCGCGGAGAGAAAGGGAGGAGGAGATTGGGGTCGAACGCTTCTTGTATATAGAATTAAATGAGATTGGAGCGTCAAAAATAATCAATCTTGGTGCCTGACTGGGGATGAGTGATATCTGGTGATGAGAGTTTTCGATTTGGGGATTGGTGGATTGAAACAATTGGTGCTTGGCTGTGTGATGCAGGTACATCTCTAGGGCTTTCGGTGTTTGACTTTCGATATACCGGGAGTGGTACAGGTACAGGTGTGACGCCGGAGATGGTGTGCCTGCACCCCGACGCTAGCTAATCTGGCCGACACCCGCACCCGCATCCGCAAGTGCACCTATCGGGACCGGCCTGGAGACATGACACGAAGCTAGCCATCTAAGCAGTGCCGACCGCCGAAATAGTCGTTGGTTACTAACGCTCATATGCGGGTCGGGACAGTAAAGAGGGTTTGTTGTCCTGTCCTGTTCTTTTTTTTTTAGTCGGATTACTTATGGCCTCTTCTCCTTTCTTTCTTTCTCTGATTTGCGGTGCACTGAGTATCATTCTCGTTCATCACGACGCAATGAAACTGATATCATTGTAACACCCGTCTGGATGATGAGCTCGGGCTCAATATTGCAAGACCACAGTGATATTCTGTAGCTGGCTGTCAGATAGCTGGCTGCGAATGATCAGTGCCAGTATCGACGGTTGCTGGGGGATGAATCCAGGTTCTTCGGTGTTTTTGCTCACATCTCTGGCCTTTAATGGAAGTAAGGAGAGCGGGCTCACTTGTTGCGGAATGGTGTCGATGGAGTAAGTGAAGTTGTTTATACCGGGCCGGGACTAGAGGTGCCCCGGTCGGATTAACTTATTGACAGCTGCAGCATTTCTCTGGTTTTTTCAAAAGCGCCAAGTGTCTGCGCTTAGGGTGTGTATTGAGGCTTCTTATCATTCTGAAAAGGTTGGTGGAATTGTCGAAAAGGGTCCAATGGTGGATTTGAACAGTTCGAATGGAAACGCAGACGAATCCAGACCGTAGTAATGGTTGAATATCGGTACAGGACCATGGCTATGGCGGAGGGCTTGAAGTTGCCAGTCAGGTCAATTATGAGTGCCTGGATCGAACTGTCAAGGGACGGAACCACTCAACGTGCAACTCTGGATCGAAGTAAGTAAGAAGAGAGGGAAGAGAAAAGGCACAAGAAAGAAATCTAAAGAAAAGGTATGAAAAATTAAAAGAGGGAGGCAGGAAGGAAGGAATGAGGGAAGGAATGAAAAAAGGAGAGGTGAGTTGACGAGAGAGCCAAGAGCAAAACACCCAGAAAACCATAACCTTAAAATTAAGCTTCACATCACTTCTCCTTCCCTCCCTGTCAGTCTTAAATTACTTCGGCGATCCCGGGCACGCCCACTCATCCACATCCCCGGAACATGCTGATCTCCCGCCTGTCGCATGGAAATTGAACCAGTGCGGGAGGCTGGTCGGGGGGATATCTATTCTGAACTCCCCAGACCGGGGGGTGGTACGATACTTCGTGTTTTTTTCTTCTTTCTTTCTTTCTCTTTCTTTCTTTTTGACGGAGCTGGTAGAGATGGAGATGACCGGGCCGGGGGGTAACGTTACACTGTGGACCTGCAGGTGTATATTAAGGAATAAGGGCAGGGAGGTGTTAGGATATTTCAAGTGATAGGTGTTTTTGTTTGTCATGTTTTGGAGGAGGAGGAGAGAGTAGTGAATATTGTGCTGAATGAGATGAGGGAGGGGGGGTGTTTTGGTGGTAGCGATTTCTGGTGAGGATATTTAAAGTGGAGAAAAGTATAGAAAAAAAGAAGACTTGCTAATGGATAGTAAATTGTTAGCGGAAGATATAAGATGGAGGGTTGAAAAGGCAGGAAGGAAGAAGGAAGAAAGAAGAATAAGAAGTAGGAGACGGGATATGTATTAATTAGAATGGGCATGACACCAGAAAAAAGAGGGGAAAAAAAAGCCTATGTGCAACCAAATTTGCAAAGGCCAACTAGGGCTCTAGAAGAAAACTCTAGGAGGAGTAGCTAGTAATGTTTCGTTGCCTACATGTAGCCTTAATTTTGAATTTTCATTAGTATCGACAAAACTCAAAAATCCAAACCAGGGTTAGTTAGTTGATTAGTTAACTGGTAGGGTTAGCTATATGAACCTGCATACTGTGAGTATTACTGATAATATGCCGTAAAGGCCTAAGCAAGTAGTTAATCCGTTACCGGCGGCTGCGTTTTTAATTCGTTTCATCCTTGTCCGTTTCGTGAAGCAACAGAAAGAAAAACCAGCATCAAGAAAAATAAGATAAAACAAAAAAATACCAACACTGAGCAGACTCCACAGCTTAATATACAACCCATCTCCCTACCTCCCTAGCTAGCCCTACATATCTCTACCCATCCCGGAACCTGCCCAGACCTAGACTTGGCCCATACCACAGGTACGTAAGGCACCACTCTAAACCATCTGCCTACCTACCTACACTCTAATTCACTGCCCCCAAGGCACATTCCGTTTGCCAAAAATCTAGACCTCCACAAGGTGGCCATTGCTGTGGGGAATCATTTCCGTGGGGTGTGGTATGTGGCACGGTCCTCAGGCTTGGAACTATTTTTTGGCGTGGGCACGGTCGTTTGGGCCGGCCAGTTCCAGAACTGGGTCTGGGGGGCTGGAACATAAGGGAGGTGTAATTTCGAGGTCGAGGTTGGATATTGCAATTGAATAGCTTTTTGGGGGGCTATTAGTAGGGAGTTGCCGTTGTGATATTGGGTCGGGGGTTACTCGGAGTCGATGGTGCGCTGGGAGCCACCGTGTGCTGCCGGATGCGTGGGTGGCTTGCGCGGTGGTTTTGGTATTGCAAATACTTGTCTATTGGTGTGTCGGTAGAGGAGTTGGGGATGGCCAATCAGACGTAAGATATGGGTGCTAGGCGGTGTTTAGTAGGTGTGCGATTTGAATTAGTAGTCTTACAAAAGCTCTCTTTCCGGTGTTGCAACGGGTGTAACTACCAACCACCACAGATCTTTAGGTTATTCTTCCAATCAATCGCCACGAGAGAAAACTCAATACTGCATCATCACATACATCATCCAATGCTAGGTATTGACAGTATTTACAAAACTGTCTCTCGGCGTCTGAGGCTGGCGACTGAACTGAAACCGTGGGATGAGATGATAAGGCATGTAGGTACGTAGCTGGCTAGCTCTGTATCAAAGACTGATCAAAGACTGATCGATCTCGCAACGGAAGAAACGTAACCTCCGGAGTTCCGCTGTCTGTTGATCAAGATGTGAGTGATCACCTACAGCTCTCGGAGATTTTTTTATTCTCGATAACTCATTCCGAGATGGTATTGGGCGGGTTTGTGGAGAGGGGGCGCAGAGGATACGTATATACGCATGCACATACCTAAGCCAGTAGCTGATCGATATTTGAGATATGATGATGTTGCGGAGCATAAATGAAACCCCCGATTAAGATCTCAGCAGGTGAAACTCTAAAACCTCCGATACTCGATGGAGATGCACATGGCCGTCATGTGACTGCCCCGCCTGGCCTGCCATCAACGTTTCAGTCGTGAGACTACTGTACCTGCTAGGACAGTTGTAGGTACAAGATGTTGGCTGCACCAGTACCTCGAGTAACATAGTAACAGTCGCCCAGTGCAATCAGCTTCAAAACCGCTATTTCAAACCCCAATTGCAAGAGCAGATCCAGCCTCCTACCTACCTACAGCTACAGCAACAGTTCCATGGCCCACTCTCCTGTCAACGCTCCCACGATCTCGTCTCCCCACTTCCAATTCCTCTCGCCCCCACATTGAACGTTATTAATAGCAAATCACCACCTATCTAGGCCAGCCTTACTACCTATCCACATACCTACTTATCTGCCTAGTCCTTTCACTGACACTCGCTACCACAACCACTCACACCCTCCTTCCCACGTTCTCGGGATGGGATGGGCATGCAGTTGAGTTCTGTTGGTAGATAATGACAGGCCCTCCACCCACGGTTTCAGTTCCCGGCGCTTGCAAACGCGTGGTGTTACTGTCACCTCACCTCACCCAACTCACCTCTTGTAATGTCTTGTCTCGGGGAAATAGAAGTATGGGTTTCTAATTATGTCGGTGTGTGCCATGCATAGCATAGCACAGTTAGAGTAGTTGGTAGGGCGGAATTGCATTTAAGCTTTTTTTTGCAATGTGTGATTCTCGTTATATGATCGATATCGGGATTGTGATATATGTGTGAGTGGGTTTCTTATATTAGATCCCACCCCACTCACTGATTGGATAGAGTTAGTATGTAGGCCACACCCACGCATATATATATGCGTGAGGAATATATGTATGTATCGCGATGTGATAGTATATATGTGGTGCTGTTCTATATCGCGGGGAGCTTTATATATAGCGTCATACAACACCGATCGCTTATTGCCGGTTCGACGGCAGTGTCAATGTTTCCCTCAACGTGTTTTTTGGTGCGTATGGGTGTGTGAGGAATTTAAAGGCTGGGCAGTAGTATAATTATAATAACCGGTATGATCAATGTATTGATGGAAGGCGGAGGGAAGGAAGAGTGCACTTTGGAGGGTGGTATTAATAGTAGATTATACATATGGCATCGAAGAGTACAGTACCCTAGTGGAAGAGAGTACGTGGTAAGAGACATATGTATGCTTTCTCGCCGCACTTATGCTTCTCCCCATTGTCATGCTTTTTCTTCAGAAACACTGTAACTAGGTACTTTGGGGTGTGTGTATGTAGATGTATGTATGTAG